ACTACTGCGAGGAATTGTGCACGTGTGTCGATCACGCCGTGCTCGCGGAAGTCGGCTTCTGCGTAGTAAAACCAGGCTTCGATGTTGTCGGGCCAGAAAGGCATCAGTTGAAACGAAGGTGGGGACAAGGTCTTAAGCTTGAGTACTTTAGGTGTCTGTTCAGTCATGATGAAATATGAAGTACGATAATGAACGAGGGGAAAATATATATATATCCAAGAAAAAATACGAAAAAAATCACAATGTTTAGAAAAAATAAAAAAATAAGGCAATGATATATAAAAATCCCAAAAAGGAACAGACTCACAGTTGCAATAAGGTGTACCAGATCACGACGGTCTCACCAATGATGATGTCACAGGTATTCAGTGTTTTACAACGCTTCTACCAGTAACACCTTCTAATATATTTCGTTCCCACCAAGAGAAATCAAAAGACAGAGTCGAGGAGATCGGAAGAGTATATTTGGCGATGACCAATATATCGGAATTCTCTGATCTAATCTGGCTAGCGATTGCGGTTGATGTTGAGCACGGCGTTACCACACGTGATCTGGTGCGGATGCCTGACCGAGCGCCTTCAGCTAGATGAGTCCACTAAAACATATGGTCAGCATCCAGTGTCGAAAACTTAGAGCTATTTATTTTAGGGATTTATTTACCGCTACGATATCTTTCTTATATTTCATATATTCTCCCCAGCAGCTTTTTGTTTGGTTAATAATGAGACGGATTTCATGTAGCTAAACAAAGTCTTATCGAACATTATTCGTCAAACCATAATTTATTGTGTTTATACAATTTTAGTGTTGAATATGAACTTTTTGATCATAGTGTACTTTATCCTTGAGATTTGCATCACAGACATTGTGACTTTTTAATATGCGTATCTTGATGTTCTGAAAAATTGTAAGTAATTAAGGCTTGTCTACAGAGCTAAGCACAGAATGATACAGCAAATATCTCAGTGTACTATTGAACTAAAGTATGTCAGTTACACCATACAACACTTAAAATTAGGCGATACTAGGTATGACCTTGGAGTTTTCAGACTGACTTTTGACCAATGAGAACGGCCAAAATCAGGAGTTTCTCTCTTAAATAACATAAGAATCAAATGTTTATGTTTAAAAGTTTTCTAAAGGGGCGTAAACCCTTGGTTGCTTTATTTCTTGAAGTCTAGACTTCCCCTAAATAACCGACGTAAAGGCGAAAAAGCGACATTTCCCCTTTCGTCCGCTTTATTTCCCCTTTTTGTGTTGCTTGGGCTGGGATTTTTTCACACAACCGTTTGGAATAGTCGCTGAAATGACCAATTGAGACAATTGTTTCGGTATTAATGCTCTTAAAACAAAATAGTAAATTATTGGTGCTCTTCGTCGACTCGTATGACACCATCAAGTTGTCTATTCTGAATATAAAAAACGTGATGAAATTTATAAAATTTTGTTTCATGTAAAATTTGCAATGAAGGGAATAAGCGTTGTGTTGTTTTCCTTTTACATTATGTCCCAACCGTACAATGTCACAAAAAGCCTACAATTCTTAATCTGAAGGGACTTAAGGTCGAACGAAGTAGTTTTCAGTGCTTAAATGATATTCACCATTATCGTCTAAAGTTTGTTTGACCCGGCAGTGTAGTAATTAGACACACTTGTCAGGCCTATTACTGAAGGGTTAAATTGACTATAATACTACTATGTAATCGAAATACCTAACGACTGAATAATGTTAAATACCGGTAGTTAAGATGGACTATGGCCTTAGTCCATTTTCATAGATGCAGTAAAGTGGATGAAAAATATGCACTGAGATCTAACAAGGAAGTGTTAGTAAGATACTATGCGTAATTTATCCGTTTGAAGGCTCTCCTGCAAGCCTAAATTCTGTTCGCTTTCGTATGACTGTTGACTACGGAGTGTACACAAATAAGTATGATTTACCTTGCTAATCGAACCCTTAAACAACATTTCGAGAAGACATTTTTATCGTTAAATTAGTTTTATAACCTGAAAGCTATGATAACTGGGCGAGTGGGAATCTGTCACTTAGAGCATCTCATAATTACAATACAGAATCTCTGTTGCTTAGTATATTCAAGCCTTTTTGAGTGCAAAATTGACGTACAAAGTAAAGGTTAAGGGGTGTGATCCGTAAAGTACTATCACTTCAGTGGAGAATAAGACTTATTAGGTAATCTAAAATAACTCACCATACAACATTTTTGAATGGTAAGAGATATATTTTTCGAAATTCATTGTTAGGTTGGAGGTGGATACATTACATTATGGTTTATTTCTTAAGTAGTTGATTCTAAGTACTGCTTTGCAAAGTAACATGGTCATGTCAGCCGTTTATAAGCAACTTTGTGAAATGTCTTCAACCCTTGATGTATTTCAATTATTTTTAGCACGATGGCAGAAAATTATGATAAGCTCAATAGAGGCTAGTTAAAAAATCTGAGTCTCTTGCTTTCAGTTAACGGTAAAAGATATATTCTTAAAGTCAGACTCTGACTTGGCTTCGGAGGTTACTCTCAACGTCCAATACTATATATGGGGTCTATACAGCATATAACTAGCTAAGCCGAATAGGGCCTCGGTTTGTGCTCTAATCAAATAAGTAGGATCAATTAAACGCAAACTGTCCCACTTTTGTGTTGTCAAAAATGTTCAATCTTCTTTTAAAACTTCAAACTTCAGTAAGATTATTATTATATATGTAGGGACCCAATACTTCCTAAATAATGAAGATTGTGATTATCAGTCTGTTAGTGATAACTAGCCGTTTATCCCAATATTTTTCTTCATCTACCATAAACATTTTACTAAGCTTTTCACGTTGAAGTACTTATTATTGCTCAGATTTCCTTTTTAGACAAACCTTAAATCTCAGCGATTTATAATCCGAATGTCTGAAATTGCAACGCATCGAACGCCAATCAGCATTTTACAAGAAGTGTGCGTAAAGAAAGGAATAACTCCGATCTACGAACTTGTGTCAAGTGAAGGACCGATCCATGAGCCACTTTATGTATTTTTGTGCACAGCCGGTCCATTCAGTGCCACTTCTAAAGGTAACTGGTTTACTTAGCCGTTCAGTTTTCCAATCAGGAGCGAGTAAGAAGAGAGCCAAACATCAAGCATCATATTTAATTTTGCTAAAGATGTTGAACAGCAGGCTTTTGACAGAGTCGGAAAAATATACTCTGCGGGATATACATATTGCCGCAGTCAACGTTCTAGGATCTGACTTTATGGACTCACTTGATGATATAGAACTGGATGGCCTACCAAATAAAATAAAACAGGAAGAGGAAGGTAACTTTGTTGGACAGCTACAAGATTTGTGTCAGAAAAATACCTGGCCACCGCCATCCTATGAATTCTTAACCATACCGCAGTCTACCCCATCGGGTAATGAATACAGTTGCAAAGTCAGGTTGTGGAAATGGACTCATACAGGTAAAATTAACATTTTTGTGGGAATATTACAGGATTTGGAAATTCCAAAAAATCCGCAAAGCGACGCGCAGCCCTAGGACTTTTAGATAATATTATCAAAAATAATCTGACTATACCTCAAGAGGCTTTGGATGATATGGAAGAAGAAACTCTTTCTTTAGTAAGTTATCGATGTCCTAATTTAGCAAAAACTAGCTTGACAAACAGGACCAGTCTGATCTGAAGGAAAATAAATTAGAAAATGAGGCAACTGCTCGTATTTCTTCCAAAGCTCTTCGTGGTTTATGGAATAGAAAAGGTGGTAAAATACGTGTTCCACCCATAGATAACCCTGATAAGGTGGATAACGCATGTGAATATCTCCAGGAGATTTGTGATTGTGCAAAAATTACTGTTGTATATACATACGTTCCTGCAAACAGTCAGGGTATGCCATTCATTCGTTTACTTTTCAAAATTGTTTGTATCTAATCAAACTTCAGTAAGTTTCGTTACAGAATAGTCTTCACTGACTTGACAAATTATGTAGTGACGATCTATGAAGGGTGATGATGGCAGCCTTTGTAGCCCTTAAGTTCCAAACATAAGACCTAATAGAAAAGCCAGTTTCCACACCAGTTAGAGCAGCATAAAGGTTAAATGTCCTGATTTTGACTGCCAATATTGTTATCCAGTCTCCATCAATGAGTTCTTTTATATTAATGACCTGACACTACGACTATTTTAAAATGGGATATACTAGACTGTACTTTCTAAAAGGTCGGATTTTAGATGTCTTGAGCATTACTACAATTTGACTACATTAACGATATTTTTTCTAAACCAATACATTGGAATGTACACAGGTGTCAGCAAAATGGTTACAATTAATATGTTTTCTAAAAGTATATCGATTTGGAACGTTATTTGTGTAACTTTTGGAGTTACGCTATAAATATCCACTATTATTTTACGTTTTTTAAGTTTCAAGTGGCGTTTAGCACAATGTCCGATTTATGAATGTTAAGATGTATTGATTATTCTACTTTACGAAATTCTTCAATTAATACTGAACTATTTATATGCTTTTTAGGGATGATCTGCTGCTTTGCGGAACTTTCCACTCTACCACCACATGTAATCAAAAGTCAATTGTCACCAAACCTGGCAAGTGCACGTAAGGATGCTGCTCGCAGATGTATACTATTCCTAAAGGCTATGTCATCTACAACACCTTGTCTTAACTACAGTGAATGGTTTTCTGCTTCTCCTGATAATTATTTGAAATAGATTTAAGTAATTAATTCTACATATATGTACATACATTTGCCCATCTTGTTTTCGATTACGCTCGTGAGGATCAAATTCAAGATAATCTAGGGCAATGAAAAAGTATATCTCTTGTAGCAGAAATATATGATGACCCTTACAGTATAACCTCCCTAAAATGTTGTTTCACGGTGCACTCTGAAGATTCAAATGGTAAGATAAGGGATATTTATGAATATATATTTGCAAGGATAAATCTTAGCAAGCTGAAAAAAATAAATACAACATTTTACTTTACAATTTTAATGTTAGAATTCGGTCGGTGTGCCATTTTGGTCACTTTGGCCATGGCCATTTGCTGTTCATCTACTTTCCCCTTCTTCGGGGGATTAAGTTGTTTCGATCTTATCCTCATTAGTTTTCGACGATGTCGCCGACGGTCAGCAAGAGTGCGCTCATTTTTACCAATAAGTATTTCACCTCTTGGTGGGCAAATCTCTTCTGGAGCTAGGAGATTGGCTGTTGAGACGACTGTGGGTCCAGGTTCTTCTAATTTTGATGCTGCATCATTCTTAGCAGACGTGGAAGCGGGTATGTACTAAATCCAGAATTAAGGTAGAAAGACAAGTAATAAAATAAGCATTTCATCATATTTGTTAAAGTGGAAGAACCGCAACATAGAAAGTATGGTTAAAAAATATTCCTTATCAGCGTGTTTCATAAGTTTTCAGTCTATCAGTTCATCTGTAATAAATTTCATATTACTAAATGCTCACGCACATACTTGAACGTCTGTTAAAAAAACGTTACTATCAAGACCATTTCCGTTAACGAAAGTTGGAAAATATAATCATATGTGATTACATTTCAAATTGGAAGGTCTGTATATGTTGAAGGTAATTAGCCATCAGATATCTACCAAGCATTACTTGCGTAATGTATAACTGCTTAATAAACAAAGATGGTGTTAGGCATAAAGTACTAAGGTAATAAGTTATTAAATTCTATTCTTTACCAGATGGTCTGAGTGAATACTCTTCTGACAACCTTTATTTGGATGGAAATAAGAGGGTACTAAGTTAACCTTTCTATGTTGTGTGTGGGACACAAAGATTCTGGCCAACCAGGTCAGCAATAATTGTTTGTCCAAAAACATGAAAAAGGATAAACAATGTGGAGATCGACGCTAATGTTTATTAGTCTTAATTATCACACTACATCAGCAGAGCGAGAGCATGTGTAAATTAAAATAATATCAACGGTAGTAATAAAATACTTCATGAGGAATAAGTCAAATCAAGGAGTAAGATGTGTGAAATAACTTAGCTCAGGATTTACAAGATGTAAAATGCATGTATCTGTACCACTCCGACTATAGATTATGCCACGTGACGTCTCCAGATGAGAAGTCTGAACTTTTTGATATACATAGCGATTTTATGGGTTGGTGTCATTTCTTTGCCTGGCCGTTACTTTCCAATTATCTTATATGATACCCGGTAACCCACCACGAGATACTCAATGGCAGGTCGTCTTGTGACTAGCTTAGTCGATGAAGGTTCTCAACGGATTTACCACTAGTACCCTACACATAGTATTGCCATTAATCACCTCGTTCTAAAACTATACGGGGGCTGTTATGAATGCAATATTAACTGACATCTATAGTAGATCCCCCAATCAAAATCCCACTTGTACTACCTGGTCTATAGCCTAACGTCTTAAGCTCTAACCAAACATACTCTTCGACTGGCAAGGTTAGTCTTGAGTTGCGGTTGAGGTAATGTTGGCTTTCATTAGTGAAGCCGATACGCACTTCTTATTCCATCTCATCCTAAGTTCCAATGAGAGAACACTGCAGACGAACTTCTATTACCAAATTTCAGACACCAATCTTTTTGATTCGAAACACTCGGCTTGTATACATAAAATTATCATACCCAACACATCCTTCACAAATCAAGTCATAAATCCCGAGAACGGAGCAAACGATAAATAACTAATTAACAACAAAGAATGGCAAGATATATACTTAGTTAATTTGTTGAACGGAACGTAGAAATACAATAATCTGTTTGATAAGTGCGATAAAAACAAACATATTAGTCATAAGATGGTTCCGACAGTATAATATTCCAAGCATTCACTTCATCACAAGAGGTAAGATCTATATGAACAATTAGTAGCAACATACAGTCCTTAATATTTATAGGACAATACTTCACACTTGTAACGCACTAGAGGCTGAAATATAGCACATCATATGTACCCTGAAAAACAGAAATCTTGCCTGCACATCTCAGAGTCAACAAGAACTTTAACGCTCCTGAGGATATGATGGTGTTTGGTTTTCTCAGGTTTTTAACAAGGAAAGGTATTTATCGATAGGGAACAATCAGATCAAAAGGTGGTACTGTTACTTGCTTAATCCGAGTTTACAATTTGAAATGAGAGAATAGTCAGACACACCTTATGTGGCACAAAATGCAGACTAGAAAGTCTATCTAATTTGTCGAAGAGCTCCAACATTTCAGCTTGGATTGCATTCTTTTGAGGGTCTCCTTGGTCTTCTTCAAGAATCTAGAAATAAGATGTCAAATGTAGTTTCTACCTGATTTCTCTTGAGAAAACTTTCATACTCCTCTACCAGTGACTTCTGAACAACATTTTGTAATGGGATTTCTTTAGAAGGCCCTTTAACTTCCTTAACTTTGAAAACAGGACTGTCAAACATCTGGAAAGAAAATCACTACTTAGTATTTCACTAACTCTTTTTTGATGGCTTTTATAATGTAGTCATTTATAGCAGCTTCGTCATGAACATCTGGCTCTAAAGAAATCTTAGAATGTATAGCATTAAACTTACTGAAAAGACCGTGGCGTTGTACGTCAAAGTGTTCTTCAAGCAAAGTATTCTCGTTTCGTCTAGTAGCTGCAACTTCACCTTGTAAATACCACGGCTTTACATCTAACATTTTACGTTCCAATGCATCCGTCTGTTTATCAAGCTGTTTAGTGTGCATTTAACCAAAAAAGCCACCATACCTTCTCTTGAAGAAGTTCGAAATTATGTCCGCTGTTTGCTTTTACCATTCTCATTAAGTGAATTAAATGAAAAATATCTAAGTATTTCGTCAACGACAAGGTTGAACTTCTGAAAGGTAAATGAATGCTTTATTTGAAACGTGTTGCATCATAACGAGTTTATGAAATCGATTAAAACCTTGCATCATTTGGTTTAACAAGGAATTATTAGAAGATGGATTTGGTTTACTTTGTTTTCTGGATCTTGTTCGCAATTAGAGGATGATGACTATTTGGAAATCGGGAGTGATAAACAATATTTTACCAAAGCTATACATGATTTCTCAGTAACTAACCTACATATGTCCTTAGAAATTCGGCTCCATTCAGTTAAAAGGCTTATATTCATATGATACTGGAATATATAAGGTAGGCTACACACTCCAAACAACTATCGCAGGACTTCGAGTGATTTTGTTATATTATGAACGGGGCTCTTAAAATTATAAGTTGAGCAGCTCTGGTATGAGACGTTACAAAGCGGAGTCCAGGATATAAATCAGTTTCAATTCTATCAGAGTTTTGTACTATCTTCGGAGACAATCGAATTCCTATTCTAACAGAACAAGATATTTCTTGATCATACTAATACTTAAACTATATCGTTTAATAAGCACTACCGTTGTTTTATTTCCCACTAAGTACTTTGTTATATAGTCATATCGTTTCTTATTATATTTCTAGATGATGTGAGACCAGCTATTCGGTTGGAAACAAGACTTAAATATTTAAAATTCCAACTCAATTTGAAGACAGGATTTATGAGATGATGGAACACGTTTCGTAAACTAGTGTTTAACACTGGTCTCATGCAGGAAATAAAGCTATTACCAGAAAAGATGATATCGTAAAGCACTAAAATATGGGAGGACACGGAAGTCTTTGATGTTAATCAAAATGTGGACAGTCAGATTGTTTCTTCCCTGTGGGGGAAGGAATGCTATGTGACGAGTGTAAAAAGTGGTTCCACAAGATGAGTACCCGTTTAAATCCTATCGCATGCAAAAGATGCTCGAAGCCCAACTCCCATAGGTCTTGCATGTTTTGTTTTTAAAGTAAGACATTATCGATCCAAGAGGCAAGTAGCCTTCTGGCATTAGCCAGCAAGAAAGTTTATGAGGGCTGGACCGGTAACATGAGTACTGTCAGCGAATGTATTAGTGTAGTGAATAATGTTACGGGACGAGTCAAACACCCGACTGAGAAACACGCAAAGTAGAAATCTCTTTTGAAATAAAGAGTGAAATGCCGATGGATATTGGTGGTCACGATTCTACAGTAGTACCTGATAACCCAGATAAAACTCTCACCGTCATAAGTAGTCCTGGCTGACAGGAAATGGGGGCTAGTACGAAAACACAGAAGAGAAAGAAACATAGTCACAAACAGCACTTGTTTGGTTGATAACTCTTTGGTAGACTCACACTGAGTCACAAAATAATGCGTTAAAGTCCCAAAGTAAGACAATACTTAACCCTAGCGTTGTTGGAAAAAGTGTGATCTCATCGAATATTGAGAGTAATTCGCTCAAATCAAATGACTCTAACCGAAGAACAACTAAAGAAAAGTTCCTAGTAGTTATCAACAGAATCGAAAGTTGTGAACATGACTTTAAAGAAGACAAATCCGTTCCTAGTTTAATTAATTGGAATCTGGAGGAGTCAAAAAGAAATGATCGTGCTATAAGGCATGTACACGATTTGGAGTTTGCGGAATTTGTCATCAGAAATGTACTGTCTGAAGAGGTTTTGGGATTACATGTTACTTGAGTAATAAGACTGGGTAAGTGGGTTGGAGGCGAGACCCGACCAAGAAGAATCTTGAAGTTATTACTCGAAAAGGGGAGTTATACTAAGTAACGCATACAAAACTCGTTATTCGAATACGACCAGACTGGCTACTTGAGGATTCAATAACGTCGAAGAATGCCCTTACTGAGTTCAAAACTTGAAAGTAAAATGGCAAAAGAACCTTAATATCCAGAGTTTTTGGGTAGCCAGGTCTTGGAAGCCAATGCTTTCGAAACCAGTATGGGTAGAACGAGCTATTCTCAAAACACCTTAAATGTATGCTACATAAACGCTCGTAGTCTCAGAAATAAAACGCCCCAGCTAAACTCGATGAATTAGGTCCCGATATAATTGTTACCAAAGAAACGTGACTCATCGTAGATATAGACTGTTCTCCAAGCATTGCGGGATACATTTGCATTAGAAGTGATAGAGTTATAAATCGCACTAAAGACTATTATACGTTGGATCACTTTCGTGTACAATCGAGCACATCAGAAGCACATGATAATGGTGTATGTGAGGTAGCTTGTTATACAATTGAATCTAGACACGGGTTAATGACTATAAGAGGAACATACTGTAGTACACATTGTCTTGCTGACGAATGTGTCTTAAGTCATATCTGTTCTTGGGGTAAGGCCGACTGCTATCTCAGCGTTGAAGATTTCAACGCGCTGCATATCAAGTAGATAGAGCTTACAGCTTCAGATGGGTGTTCTGATAGCAGCATGCTGTCAGCCATTATTCGGTGTGCATTTATACAATGTATTGCAAAACCGACATATTGACTTGGAACACGAACCGTCACTACCGGACCTTGTATTTACACACCACTGTGATGACGTCACCGACATTCAGTATGGTAGGTAAGCCTAACTGCCAAATAAAAGTGGCACTAACGGACATTATTCTCGAAGACAGAAAATAGTGCCACATTATTTCTCCTTAGGTTAGAAATGTCTGGCTTCTATAGGCAGTTATGAAATCCTGAGAAAAAACTTAAGTGATTAATTAACAACGACTAATCTTACCCAAAATAGTACTCAGATCATCATATCAAAGTTAGATACTTGGAAGGAGACATCACAAATTTACTAGTTATTCACGCGGTTATACATGTTATGCAAGAAATGGAAGCTTTTCTTTGGTTTCCCTAAGTTTAGGTGTCTTTTTAGAGATATTTTAGTATAGGCCTAGGCAAATAAACTGAAGTACAAACGGAAGACATTTTGTGGAAACAAAAACGCTTCTCTAAGGTGACTAGGAAATCCTGGAAAATGTAAAGAGGACAGATACCTATGAAATTCCAGAATTTCCAGGTTTATTATAAACAGGACGGCTTGATAATTGGGACCTCTTTATTTCGTTTTACAGTAGATGTTTTCAATATATGAAATACTCAGAAATGCTTTTGGACCTAATATGCTTTCTTTATCCTTCCAGATCACAACAATTTGAGAAACATACTAGGCGAGTTCAAAAGTAAAGCACTAACAGAATATCAATGACATACAGGTTCCCACATTAAGTCATCAACTTTTGGAACATTTATTTAACTTACTCAAGCGAAGACTAAACAGTGACAGAAGTTTACCAGAAAAGAGCAAACACAGGCCGTCAGTCTTCTATCCTCAATACAGAGATAGTTGTCATATCGTTATGTCAAACAAACGGTTCAGGCTCACCTACGAACCAGTAACATGCAATATCACCTACATATACATAAAGAATGTGAATATTTTAGTTCAAAAAGGACTTTAGTACAAAGACATTACTGAACTAACTCATATATGACGAATCCAAAGACTAATATTATAAGCAAGAACCTTGGATACATGACAAAAATCGCATTCTAGGCTTCTACATTATAAACTAGTTGAACTTCAGTGAAATCAGTACAAATTAAAAGAAGGAAACCAATGTGATTCTAACGATCTAGTCGCTAACATCACACACAGCTACGTTATTAATCAATTTTATCAAGTTTCAAAAAGGGCAGTGATTTTTGTACTTGTTGTGATTATACTTGCTTTTGGTACTTATTGCACTAAAAAGCATTCTTGGTCTACTTTAACTAAGAGTTCTTTGGTTAAAGTTTGAAATTTTTTACTAAATTTTGTCCTGAGTACCTGTTTTTAGTCCTTGACTAACACTTGTGCTCACATTGTTATCATTTTTTGTTTTTAAACCTTTTAAATCGAATTACAATGGTTGGTAAGACTCACAAATGTGGGCAACCAAATTGTTTGTTCTCCGTTGAGGAGGGAATGCAGTGTGACGACTGTAAAAAGTGGTATCACAAAATGTGTACACGACTAAGTCCGACGGCTTACAAAAGATGCTCGAAGCCTAACTCGCATTGGCTTTGTATGTTCTGCTGTACGGATAAAAAGGTACTAATACAGGAGGCTATGGGCCTATTGGCTTTGGCCTGCAAGAAAAACGATGGCGGAAGCACTGATAACAGGAGCACTGACGATGAAGAATGTGTCAGTGTAGTAAGTGCTGCTACTGGACCCATTAAACACCTGACTGCGGTTGACGGGAACGTGAAATCTCCGTTGACATTAACGAGAAATGAAGTGTCGCTTGATAATGACATCGGCAGTCATACACCTCTAGTCGAAATAGAAGATCCGGATAAAACTGTCACCGTTCCACATAGTCCAGGTGTGGCTGTTCTGAGTGGTGACAAATGGACTTCGGTAAGAAAAAAAAAATAAGAAGAAAAAGGCTGTAGGCAAAACGCAGCTGGTCAGCAAAACATTGGAAGGGATGTTATCAGAAGAAAAATCCTCACCGCGTGAAAAGACAGATCTCTCTGATAGATCAGTCATTTTTCATAAGATAAGAGAATCTTCAGATACTGAACCAAAGGCAAGATTTGAACATGATCTCAATCATATTAAGACATCATTAAGTAAACTACTCCCAGATACAGTTTCAGGAGTTAGTATTTGTAAGCTTTATAGAATAGGAAAAAAGGTGGATTCCGAAAGTCCTCAGAAAAACCGCCTCCTAAAGGTTACATTCAACACGGTGGAAGAAAGGAACCTGATTCTAAGTAATTCACGTAAACTGATTGGATCCGGAATATATGTCCGTGAGGACCTCAGCCTAGCTGATCGTATTAAGAGAAGAGCTGCAGAAGCGGAAATAAACGAGCGTCGCCGAAACGGTGAAAGAAACCTCGTTCTTAAGGGTTTTCAGATTGTAAAAGTT